ACATCTTTCTCCCACTGCTCCCGCTCTTCCTCAATCATCTCCTGCAAGACTTCCACAAATCCCTTGACATCATCCCTTTCTTTCTCGCCGTTCTCTTCAATATCCTTCAACTCCGCAATCAGCTCCTCCAGGCCAATATCGTTAGAGGGTACAGGAACTTCAGTCGACTCGGTTCCGGACTTGGGCTTGACTGGCTCGAAAGGATGGAGAACACCTTTCGCAGTCAAGTTCACAGTATGCACGAAGCAGCAAACATGTGCATTCTTGCCGAGGAAGTTTGGTAGCTTCGTGATGAGCTCGTCAAACATGGCTGTATTCGCAGATGCATTGTCGCAGGTAATAGAGATAATCTACAGTATGTGAGCCATTATTCAATCCCAAGAATAGTTTACTGACCTTGTCATCTATACCGTACTCTTTCAGGGTTTTTGCAAGCGCCTCTGCCATGTTCTCGGCTGTATGGGAGCATGGAAGTTCGATGAAGTCCAGAAGGGTGGTGGTAAGTTCTTCTGTTCCGTTTTCCAGTTTGCGTAGCCAGTTGACCACGATACTCATAAATGGTTAGGCAACGTCCAGCAGTCAATTACAACTGGGAGCTCGCCATCGACAGCCTACAGATACCGGTAAGTTTTTCTAACATTGAATTATATTGTTATGCTTACCTGCAGTTCTTCCGCCAGCTTCTCTTTCGTCTTCGTATAAAGTTTCTTCACATCTCGAGCAACGGTTTCCTTGCTTGGCACGTACTGCTTTGGACGTCCCTCCTTCTGGAGCCAGCGGTAACATCGGTCCCGGACTATACAAAATGGACGAGCAGATTCAGCTACCCATCTGGCGGTTACAACACTATGACTTGATTGAGGAGATATATAATAAGTCTAGGAGGGTTAGAGGCATACCGAGTCGTTTCTTTTTCTGGCGGCTGTGTGGAAAACATGTCAGCCCACCCTTTGAATGTCTTCAGGGCTGCGGTGAGTCGTGTTTGGCTTTTTTTCCCGAAATTTTTAATTGCTGATCTTGCTTTCTCTAGATTTGAGTCTCTCACTGCAGCAACAGCCTCTTCGCCCCAACACTTTTTCGCATGTGCACTCAGGGCACCTGTTCATCGAAGGTAAGCTTTTAGATTAACTCAAAACGTTTTGCTAACCGGTTGAACCCTTATCTTTAGTCTTCATCCCCTGCCGCTTTACCTCACCACAATGTGAACACCTCCAGACCAGATACTCAATGGTTCCCTCACTATCAAACTCGAACGTGGGCTCGGCATCAAAGAAAGCATATATTGGTGCCTTCCGTCGTGATAAGTCTTTTTCTATTCAAGGGTAAGTATTTTTCATTGTATATATGAGCTTACTGACTGAGTTTTTCAATTGCTTTGGCCCTTTTAGCATTTTCGGCCTTGGTTGTATCGATAATTTCATTGTCGTTGTTTGGGGTGGATCCAGAGGGTTGTCTGGGTTCTTCATTATCTTCTCCGCTCTTGTTGCTATCACTGTTGCTGGTGATTATGGTGATTTTTTTCTTTTTTTTCCGTGAATTCGTAGTTGCACTGCCCTTGCGTTTGAGAAGATCCATGTCGACAGAGAAAAGATTAAGGTTTAGTTATAAGGTTTAGGTGTTTCAATAAATTGGTACAAATAATTACAATATACTGTACATTTTACTCGCTAAGTTCTGTATCCTACATAAATTGAGAATGCCTGGGTCGAGGCACTTTGGAAAGGTGTCAGGTATGCCCAACGGGTGCCGGGTGCCCAACTTAAGAACCGACCCGACCCGGAAACCCGACTCACCTGGTATACCCGTGCCACACACTAGGCAGTAATATCCAGTGGGAAAGCATAAAACCAACAAATTTGCAATATACAATGTGTATGGGAGGCTGGGCTGATGCGTATGTCCTCGACAAGTGATTCAATGGAGTCTTTCCAAACATTTGTACCAGAAGAGATGGACACTCTCCAAGATACATTGCAAGTCAACCAGTATCACTTTGAGTTCAAATTGAATTCAATTGCTTGCAGTACCCTCCATATCAGCTCTGATGTGAGTAGGATTGGGTAGAGAAACATGTGTTCAAAAATCACTGAAGAGCCATCATCAATGTACTCAATATTCAACTTCTTCAGATGAGGATGTTGAACATAGTCTCCACAATTAGACATTTTGTAGTAAAACAGTGAAGGAATAAGTGTGAATTGACATTGTGGTTAAATGTTGGAAATCAAAGGGTTCTGTGGGACGGTAGGGTGAGATATTCAGAGTGCGCAGGCGAGGGCACTGACTGAATATGGTCCTAAGGAATCCAAGTTCATCTGAGTCATATTCAGTGCAAAGCTCCAGTGTTTTGAGTTGCTGAAAACTAGTATGATGAGAGCAAACCTGCTCTAACATGAAAGCCAGGAAGGGAATTGAGCTCCTAAAGACCAACCTTACCTCCTTCCATCTGTTTGCATGCTCAGCAAAAGCAGCTAGAGCAGGAAACAGCCCATAGGAATGATCTGAATCATTCAGCAGATGCTAGTAGCCATGGATGATAATGCCAAGATATACAATATAGACAAAGCTGTCCCTGAGTGCTGCAGAAGTTCCTTCAGGCAGCTACTCATACATCAGCAAAACCTGTATGACGTGGGCAGTGCTTGAGAAAACTGTCCAGAGTTCCCAGCGCTGCAGCGTCCCAGCACTCAGATGGTCCGGCCAATGCAGGAGGGGGCTCCCAGAAGCTCCCAGAGGCTGCAAAATTACCTTATTAGGAAATAATGTATGATTTTATATTTGTGACAGCACTGGGATATTTAAGTATTGCTGTGGGAATTAAAATGCAAAATACAGGTTTTGCTGATGTAGCTTTGTAACTGACTTCAGGGTATGAGTAGTCCCTCCAGCTCAAAGAAGATCCAAAACAATAGACTGGAGAATGATTTCTCACCACCCAAAGCAAACCAAAGTCAATGGAAATGCTGCCCCAGCACATCAAAATCCCATTTCCTGTAATGGCGGGCTTGAATGGCTAATTTGAAAATCATGCTTATGATTTCTCGGGGCACTTTGTGGATCAGGGACAACAGCAACACCTCCATTTTTGCCAGCCATCCTGCTTACTGACCCATTGCTGAAGATCATTACAAGTTGCTTCTATGAGAGAAAGGAGCCGAATGCATAATGCATTCAACAGGTGATTCTGGAATGGCGTTTGATCTGCTTTTAGTGAGTGCTTACTGGTAATTTTTATCATGAGGAGATTGGCATTCAAAGAGTGTAGTATGAGTGCAATGAGGTATGAGTCGCACACATAGGTTGTCTACGGCTGATGTACGTGATTGCCGGGGAGCGTGTCTTGCTTCTCACTCTCATGAAGAGCCGCTCCCTGCATTTGTGCAAGCACCGCCAGTAAACGGTTGCCTCTCGCACTTAATTTCTCTTTGTTTTCATCTCTTCTGCCATTCCTTTCCTCTCTTCAAATCTTGCAAACTGAAGGAAAAGGATTAGGGTAGGGAAGACCCGGAAGCTCTGGGGTCCTTGTTGAGAAATCATATCGCATTTGCATTAAGGGGGCGTTTCCATGCATTCACTCCCACATTGCATTCACATTTGCATTTATGGGGCACTTCCACGCATTTGTCCCCACATCCGCATAACTTGGTGGGCATTTCCATGCATTCGCCCCATATCTGCATCTGCATCGCATTCACATTCATGGGGTGTTTCCATGCATTCGCCCCATATTTGCATATGTAGGGGTGTTTCCATGTATTCACCCCCTACATCCACATATTTGGTTTTGTGGATTGGTTGAATAAAGGTAGGTCAAGTAAAAGGTGAGTTCAAAATTTCATTTGGTGGTTCTATTAGTGGCAAGGTTTCTGCTTGTAGGGGCCTCCTCCTATATAGGGGGGTATCTGCGCTTTGCTTGATGCATTGCAGACTCCTACGTAGATGGGTATCATTGTGCATCACGGACACCATGTTTTGGAGTCTGTTGAGCTGGAGTCAGTCTGTAGGCACTCAGTCTATGGATCAACTCAGCCCAAAACCTTGCTGCATACCTATGTAATCACATTTACATACACTCATATACTCTGGCAAGAGCAAGGAAGCCATAGAGTGTAGTATGAGTGCGATGAGGTATGAGTCGCATGCATAGGTTGTCTACAGCTGACATACATGATTGCCGGGGAGTGCGTCTTGCTTCTCACTCTCATGAGAAGAGCCGCTCCCTGCATTTGTGCGAGCACCACCAGTAAATGGTCGCCTCTTGCACTTCATTTCTCTTTGTTTTCACCCTCCCACTGCTCCCTTTATTGCAGATCACCTCCATCCCTTATCCGGTACAATCAAGACAAGTCCAGAGAGGGCACTGGCCATGCAGGGTAAAACCTGTATGCTGGAATCTGCCGTTGCAGATCTCGTCCAGCCCACTGCCTTGATAAAAGGATCTTTGAATCCTGGGTTCCAGACTCCTTGTTACATGGTATAGGTTCTAGTACTTAGCTGTCCTGGAAGACGGGGATTTATAGGTGGCTGTGGAGAACCATGGCTATCTCCCACAGGGTTTTAACCATTGTTCCTGCCTTGGATGGCCGGGGACATTGTATGTAGATTGTAGCTTACCCACCCACCCTCATTGCGCATCACGGACACCATGTTTTGGAGTCTGTTGAGCCGGAGTCGGTCTGTAGGCACTCAGTCTATGGATTGACTCAGCCCAAAACCTTGCTGCATACCTATGTAATCACATTTACATACACTCATATACTCTGGCAAGAGTGAGGAAGCCATAGAGTGAGAGATAAGATGGTTGGCACCAGGTGACATGGCAAATTAGGAGCTTGAAGCAGTCAAGAGAGAACAGCTGAAGCCATGTGACCATTCATTTCAAATTCACAACTTGAACTACTTCTTGAGATGTAAGATTGCCAAAGATTAGAATAATAAATTCACATCCATTAGGGTATGCAAAAAAGGTATCTACCAAACCCACCCCCAAGAAAAAAAAATGGACAAGTCTGGAATTGAACCAGAGACCTTCCACATCACGGTTACCAAGTGGTTGTTCAAAGTGGATGCAATAACCTCTACATTACATGCCCATACGTGGCTCCTGAGCTTAAGCCTGTTGACATTGGAATTTTAAGTTGGAAAGCAACTGGATATCCCTCCGTTTTGACCATTATCACTTGTCCCCAGAGGGTTGCGCTCTCAGACTCCGGGGCTACAGCATCTGCAGAATTCCCAGTTTCAACAGTGTGACAAGTCAGCCTAGCCAGAGAAAGCTTCACAAAGATGTACCTAGAAATAGGCAGATCACTGAACCTAATACCACAAGCACCCAAGCAAGAACCCACCATCCTCATCACTGGTCCAACTGAAAGCAGATTCTTATTCGGCCACCACAACAT